CGTCCTTATTGAAGGTGCGGTGCCCAGAACTGGATGCAGTCCTCCAACTGTGGTCTCACCAGTTTTGAGTACAGCAGGAGTATCACTTCCTTAGTTTTATATGAGATGCATCAGTTGATGCATGCCAGTGTGTTATGTGCCCTGCTGACCACCGTCTTGCACTGATGGCTCATATTCATGTGATGATCAATCATTATTCCTAGGTCCCTTTTGGCCATGGTGCAAGTCAAGCTGTCACCACCGAGCCTGTATGTATGTTGAGGGTTGTTTGCCCCCAGATGGAGCACCTTATACTTGGAAGTGCTAAACCTCATCTGGTTCCGGTCTGATAACAACATCCAGTTCCAGTCACGAGTGGGGGCTAAGTAGCACATGGATCCTTTCTGGGGATATTTAGAGTACACACACATACTGAGTAGTGCTGAGCTGTGGGCATAGGCAGTGCATGGGGGAGTACAGAGGGGCCCGTGCCCATCCTGAGATAGGCTGCTGCCAAAGCCGCTGTCAGCTTCAACGGGTAGTCACCACCTCTGCTCACCGCCAACATGGCTGCCAGTAGCTGCAGGCAGCCCCCGCTCACCGCCCACCACCCCCCTCCCCCGCTGCTGACATCATTGCAGCCACCTACAGGCGGTCCCTGCTTGCTGCTGCCATGACTGCTGCCGCCTGCGGGTGGTTGCCGTGCCTCCCCTGGCCTCAGGAGGCACATATCATTCATGGTTGTGAGGTCACTGTAGCTTGAAATGCTGTCAACTCCGACTCTGCTGGGACTTAGCCCAAAATGTTAAATCATCAGTCTTTTGGCTTTGGACTAATATCATGCATAGTTTGTACTCGCTCTGAGTAGGTGCTAAAGTGCTACTTACAAGTGTGTTTATGGTATACCAATACTAAAACTTGCAGCAGTTTCAAAAAAGGTAAAATGCATAATTTCTGGGTGAATTAAGTCTCTGAATACTATATGCAAATTGCTATAGCTATATATATTTCAAGGTCAGTTTTTTAAAATTTATTCTTCATTTCCATGGCTCAGGGAGAGCAGGGTTTGACAGTAAGGAAAGGGAGAAGGGGCTACAGGGGGAAGAATTGGGAGGAGGCAGAAGGCAAAGAGGCTACCTAAACTCCCAGATTTATTTTCCTTGCTGTAGCAGTGGGAGATTGATATAATTTTCTAGGTATATAATGTGCTTATTGAAAGTTTGTCTTGAATTTGTCAAATTTATACATTTTCCATATATAGAATAATTATTGTGGGGTTGTCTTATAATCAGGGTCATTTTATACTCTCGGAAATATGGTAGTTAAGTTAGTTTAATGCAGGGGTGGGCAAAATGGCAGATCCAGCCAGCAGTTGGGCTCCATTCCCCAGCAGCCTCTGTCCACGTCACTGTAGCCACTTTCCATGGAGACCCCAGTAGCAGCAGCACCATGACAGCACGGGGCCAGGGTTGCCATGGAGACTGGCCCCAGCAGCACTGGCAGGGCATGCAGCTGGGTGGGGAGCTGCTTTGGGGCCTGGGATCTTGCAGTGGTGACAGTGTGGTCCAGAGCCAGGGCAGAATCACAATCCAATGCCTGCAGGCCCCTGCCTGAGGTGTGCAGGCAGTGGATTGCAGCTCTGCCATGGCTCCGGATCACACTGTAACTGCCGCAGAATCCCAGCCCTGGAGCAGCTTCCTACCCGGATGTGTGCCCTGTCAGCACTGCAGGGGCCAGTCTCCATGGGAACCCTAGCCCTGAGCTGTCACGGGGCTGCCACTCCTGGGGTCTCCATGGAAACTGGCAATAGCAGTGTGGGCAGGGACTGCTGGGAAATAGAATCTGCCATGGGCCTGATCTGGCCTGTGGGCTGGACTTTGCCCGCCCCTGGTCTAATGGTAACCTGGTGACAAACATTCACATTTTGATTAAAACACCAAGTAATAATACATACAAGAGTATTTGAAAGTAAACATTTTGTTTCTTTTCAGAATTGCTCTGGAGTTTCTTTATTCATAGATTTCATTGATATTAAGGCTGGAAGGGACCTTGGAAGATCATAGAGTCTAGCCCCTGCCCCGGGGGCAGGAAGTCAGCTAGGGTCAGAGGATCCCAGCAAGATAAACATCCAAATGTCTCTTGAAGGTGTTCAAAGTAGGTGCTTGAACCACCTCCAGCAGCAGTCTGTTCCAGGCCTTGGGGGCTTGGACAGTAAAGAAGTTCTTCCTTATGTCCAGCCTGAAACAGTCTTGGAGGAGTTTGTGACCATTTGACCCTGTCATCCCATGGGTTGCTCTGGTGAACAGGCGTTTCCCTAGATCCTGATGTACACTCCTTATGTACTTATAGGCAGCCACCAGGTCCCCCCTGACCCCGTGCTTTTCCAGGCTGAAGAGTCCCATGGCTCTCAGCCTCTCTTCATAAGGCCTGCTTTCCTGCCCTCTGATCATGCACATGGCTCTCCTCTGGCCTCTCTCAAGCTTCTCCACATCCTTTTTAAATTGTGGAGCCCGGAATTGGATGCAGTACTCCAGCTGCGGCTTCAGCAAGGCCGAATACAACGGGAGAATAACATCCTGGGATTTGCTAGAGAAGCATCGATGGATTGTGTGGCAGCAGGAAGCGAGCCCCCCAGTGGTGCATGGTCCCAGTGAGCCCCAGAAGTGCACATAGCTGGTTCACCAGCTCCATCGCACAGGGCTCACATGCCTGAGCCCTGTGCCACTGGCAAGAGCCCCACACAATGAAGCCATCAATGCAGATCATGGGGCTCAGCCACGGCAGCAGGGTAGAGGAGCAAAGCCAGCCTGGCTCAATAGTGTGGAGCTCCCTGATGCTTCCTATGACCTGCACAGAGCAGTGAGCAGGGCTGAGCTGATGGCTCCATCATGTGGGGCTTCCCCAGAGGTGCACAGCTCAGGTGAAGAACCTGGGAACTGCATGCAGGACTGATGCAATAAAGCCAGGCAGACCCCAGCGCCCCTGCCGGCCCAGGATCTGTGCTCCTGCCACCCTGCCTTGGGTCCCTGCTGACCCCAGCCCCGGGACACCAGCACAGGCTCCACGCTCCTGCCCAGTTGCCACTTCGCTCCCACCCACTCCCACCACTCCCCACCCCACCTACCCACCCACCGATGCAACCACCACTCTTCCCCCCACCCCTCCGCTGGCACCACCACCGCCATCCTTCCCCTGCCACTTCCCCACTTTCCACCTGTCCACAACTCCTCTTTCCTCCCCCCACCCACTTGCCACCATTTCCCCCGCCCCTACCCCCCACCACTGCTGTCCTTTCCTTGCTGCTTCCCTCCCTTTTTACTCCCTCCCTTTGCCCGCCTGCCCACTGCTGCCTCCACTCCCCACCCCTGCCACCACCCGCTGCCGCTTCCCTACCTGTGGAGCTGGGGTCAGGGCTGTCCTGCATGCAAAGGTGGGAATGCTGCCCCTGTGGGAGTGAGCAGGGCTCAGCCCCATGCAAGCACAGCAAGGGCAGCCCAGGGTCAGGCTGCATACAGAGAATTGGTAGGCACCCATCCATGGGCTGGATGAAATCACCTGGTGGGCTAGATCTTGCCCATGGGCCGTATTTTGCCTGCCCCTGCATTATAGGCTGCTTACAGACATTAAGGAAAAAAAAGCAACCCCCACCTGCCCACACACACATTTTACTCAAAGAAGTGATGCATTAGTTTGACCTGGCTCCACAGTGTCTGTATAGATTGGGTGCTCCAGTGGGGTTTTTGGCACTTATCTAATAGCTGATTTAATTAGCTGTGAGATGAAAGCACCATAAAAGCCTCATTAAAGCCCCCCAATCTATACAGATGTTGGGTGAGCTGGGTCCAACTAACTCAATGACTCTTCTGGGCACGTGTTGGGCTTGGCATGGGAGTGTGCCAAGTTTAAACTAAAGTTTGTTTAGATTTTTTGTTTTTCTTTTTTAATATCTGTAAGTAGCCTTAATGCTTATGACTTTAAGACATGTCAGCTTCCTTCCCACAGGTAGGTAAAGCTGTAGATAACTGTTCATCATTGTTGTACAATCATACGGGGCGCGTCTACACATGCTGCTATGGTGTTGTTACTGTGCCAAACTTCCTTTTGGAAGTACAGGCAGTCCTCAGGCTTGAGAGACAATTGGTTCCTGAAAACCACGTCTGAAGTCGAAACGTTGTAACTCAGAACCAATTTTCTCATAAGAAACAATGTTATAAATGGGGGATTGGTTCCTGAACCAAGACCCGATACCCTATTTTCACTAAAAATACCCCAGAATTTTGTACTCGATCAATTATAGGTGAGTAATATAGCTACATTAATGTATTTATATTGTAAACAGTGATCATATTGATTTGGTAGGACTTTGAGGGGACTTTGCTGGACTTCCTGAAGGGCTCTTGGTTGGACTTTTTGAAAGGTTCTTGGCTGGAGTCTTCTCAGGAGTCTTGGCTGCAGGTTTTTCTGGAGCCTTGTCTGCTTTCTTAAAGAGTGTCCAAGGAATTTTGGACAGATGTTCTCCAGGGAGATGAGCAATGCAGCGAACTTGGTCACTGGCATGGCGTTGCATCGGATCAGGCGTTGTAAAGTCGAAACTGACATCATAAAGTTGAAACAGGGTGTCAATTTATAAACGTTGCAACTGCGAAATGTTGTAAGTCGAGGACTGCCTGTACTAAAAGACAGTGCAGTAACAGCCAATAACTGCGCTGTGTGGGGGGCGCATGGTTATTTTTAGGCACTGTTGCCATAGCGACACGCTATAACCAAAGAGCATGTTGCTACAGTGACGTAGCTGCGGAGTTGCATGTTTTGCCCGTGAACGCTACGGTGCTGTAGTGCATTGGTGACATACTGTCATGTGTAGACATGCCCACTGAGTTTCTTTCTGAACTTCCTGATGTGTTGCCTGTAAATATGATTTTATTACAATTGTGGACTCCCCTAATTCATTCAATGGGAAATCCTTTCAAGTGGTATTCTTAAAAGTGCTGTCAGTGCTTTAAGAATATATGAATGCTAGATTACATTTTGGCCAAAGACTTTATTATGAAACCTGTATTATATAATTATTATAGAAATAGAATATACAATAATCAAGGCCTTTGATACATTTTCATTTCTGGCTCCTAGTGGTTTCAATAATGCATACAAAATTAGCTCTGTCTAGCTCTAAATAGCCTTGCTTTTCACACACAGCCTGTGGGAACTGTTGAACAGTAGACTCTTGCTGGTGCTCACACCTCTTGCTGCTTTCCACAGGTCTCTGAAAGAAATAAAAGGGAACTCTTAAGAGCGGTGCTGACAAAGGCATATGCAGTGGCTAAGCCCGGGCCTTTCTGCAGAGGTGTGGAAGGCATTTGACTTTTTATCATTAGAGAAGTCATCCACCTTCTCAACCCATTCCTCTGGGTTGGAAGCACAGTTATGATATGTAAAGTAAGAAGCAGTGAAGGCAGAAAATAGTTTCAGGAATATACTGCTTTAACACCCTCAGTCAATATGGTACAGCTCACATGTGTGTATGGGATCATTTGTATTATACAGAGTAGCTAGGTGTAGAAAGGAAAAAAAAAGTTTAAAGACTGCCCACCAAAATCCCCGCTCTTCTACTCAGACCTCCATTCACAATAGAAGACATCTATTAATAGTTTAGGGTCTTAAGTTCTATAGCACGACTCCCAAGAAATGCCCTTCATTTTGTTGTACTCCTCTTTCCTTTGACATCTGAGTACTATTGACTTGGCTGATTACCAAGTCATAATAATAAACAAAAAAAAACCCCCGCACAAAATTTTTTTTTATAGTTTAAAAATGTTACTATTTAATAGCCTTTAAGTAAAATCAATTTCCTTACTGAAGAGAGTTCCCAGTGTCAGAAGTATTTGATAACACCTAATGAGGTATGGGTTACAGGTCTCAAATCTTTAAAATAAAGCATTAAGTATTTGCTTTACAAAAAAATAAAATAAAAAATTGGGGGGATGGAGGAGGCATACCAGGGTTTTACAAGGGCAAGTTTGTAGGGCTATTAACCTTGTAAATTTTCTTTTTTTCCCCATTGTTGGCAGAACCATTAGTATAGCATTAGCTGATAGGCATCTTGCCATTTTTCATCTACAGGCCTGTTCCATGCCAGTGTCCACTAGAAAAATCTTTTATAGATCTGGCTGAAGGGTGACTATATGTTATAGATACCATTGAAGTAGAAAATAAGATTCTACAAGCCACTTGCCAATATCAAGTGCAGTTCAACCGATCTAGAAAGTAATTCATTTTTAGGAAGAAATTCTTAAAAGTTATTTTGAGACTAAGTACCCAAATGTATAAGCCCTATGTGAAGACGCTGTTTAACTTCAACAGGAATTCCACATGTTGAAGGAATGAACTTTCCTTCAGTAGCTCAGTTATTCAGAAGATTCCATTCCATGTTGCTCAGAAACTGGATTTAAAAATGTAATGATATTTTAGTTTTGGTTATTAACCAACAAAGCTTGTAGAATCTTTAAGGTAACGTTTTAATTTATAATGACTTAATATATATAATGAATTCCTGTACAATTTGGGTTTTTATAAAAATAATAAATAGGGAAGAGAGACTTTTTCTCACCACAGTTCGTTTTTCAGCCTTTTTGTTTATAGCTTTGATAGCTTAAATAGATTTAACCGTGTTGAAAGACAGGAGGCTCCAGAGGCATAACGAATCTCTTTCAATATGCCGCTCCATTCTTTCTTCTCATCATCATATCTGCAGTTAATAAAATGCAGTCAATACACACATGTATGTTTTTAACTTCAGATTTCTGGACTTGAGCTTCTCCTCCAGTACCCACAAGGAAAGGAATATAACCCACTACAGGTGCACTGATAAGTCCACAGTGTATCGGTGCTGATAAAAGGAAAATTGACATTACTGGCAATTGGCTCTTTTTTGGCTGACATGGCTGATAATGTTGCTGCTAAATGCCGCATGCATGAACATAGTCACAGCATGCACGTGGCCAACCTGGCAGCTTGGAGAGCAGCATCCCGCTGGTAATTGAGTTGAGGGGAAGCGAAAGAGTGGAGGGAAGGGGCACGATGGAGGCGGACTGAGGCCCCTGCAGTGAGGGAGGGAGTGGGGCTGGGGCAGAGGTAAGCACTGCCCAGCTGGGGTGGGGCGCGGGATGGAGCCAAGAGTGGTTCGTCTGGGTGGTGTGGGGGGAGCAGCTCCCATCACTGTGCATCCCCTAGAGGAAGCATGAGGAGCATGTGCCCTCTGGATCTGTGCGCAGGGTGAGGGCAGGCTGCTGCTGAGGGCTGGGTGTGGCACTGGGCTCTTCCCAGTGGGGGAGCTGGGCCAGGGCTGTGCTCAGGGTGGATGGTGGTGGTGCTGGCAGGAGGAGCTACGGGGGGGCTGCAACCACCCCAGAACTTGCCGTAGCCCTCCCATAGCACCCCCTCCTAGCGCCGCCATTGCCCACCCTGAGCACAGCCCCGGCTCAACCCCTGCGCTGGGAAGAGCCTGGTACCACTCCTGGCCCCGGCCCCAGCCTGCAGCAGCAGCCCAACCTTGCCCCACACACAGATCTAGGGGGCACACGCCCCCCATGGCTCCCCCGAGGTTGTGCACAGCAGTGGAAGCCAGTCCCCACCCACACTTCTCAGGCATCCTGCAGCCTGCCCTGCACACCCGTGCTCCTTCCCCACTGCCTCCCTCACTATGGGGGCCTCGATCTGCCCCCCCATGCCCCTTTCCTTCCCTCCCCCTGCTCCTTCCCCCACCAGCAGACCTACTAGCTGGATGCTGCTCTCCAAGCTGCTGGGCTGTATATCAGCAATTGGATTGGTATTGACTGATACAGCTCGTTAATAAATCGGTATTGGCTCAAAAAATCCTTATTTGTGCACACCTATAACCCATGTTTCAAAAGGCTCGTGTAGCTTTTATGCTAAACTGTGCCACATAAGGAGACTGCTGTCCTCCAGAACAGAATATCAGAACATCACCTTGCTCCTCATCCTCTCTTTCCCGCTCCCTTTTTTTCAAATCCTTCTTTACACATGCTTTCAGGAATCTTTTTGGCTTTCCCACTGACTAATTCCAACACCTAAATTTACTTTAACATGAGGGGAGTCGCAGATAAAGTGGACTCTTTCAGTGTAGATATAAGTATGTACCTGACATTCTCTTAAAAGGGGCTGTGACACTCTCTTAAAGAGTGGACACAACCAACATCCTGGATTGCTATTCATCTGCCTATTAATGTGGATGAAAGCAATAACAGGGATAACATTAATTTATCTGACTCTTTCAGAGCATCCTGCATGAGAACATGATGCAATGGAAATTGTTAGTTTGTATTTAACTTTAAATCAGGCTGAATCTGCCAAGAAATATTATATCCTACTTCTCTATGTACCCTTACTGATTCCTGAGACTTATTCATTAGTAGGTAGAAGTATTCACCTGAGCTAAGTCTCACATTTATCTGTGATGTAATGAAGTAAATGATTGATGTTGTTCACCAGATTCTATGCAAACTCAATATAAAAACAAAGAATAAAACCTGTACAATAATTAATTTCTGAAAGTAATGGTAATATCAATGTGATTTACTTTCTAGTGCAAGGCAAGGTAGTGCTTTCCAAATAGAAAGTGAGATCAAAACAGAACTTACTTCCATATGTCAGTGACTTCACTGGGTGCAAATTCATTAGATTCAAGTTGAACCATAGCAAAACCACCAATAGCATAAAGGGATCCACTCAAGGTGACTAAACTGATAGAGCTTCTCTCCTGGGGAAACTCAGGCATAAGTTCCCACCTAAATAGTAGTAGAAACATAACCAGTCAGACAACAGTTAAGGGATATTCTGAATTAAATTATTATAGAAGATGAGCTATAGAAGCTGACAGCTACAGTAAACAAATGGGCGCTGAGGCTGTTCAAGGTTTTCGCCCCCAGTACAAAGGAACAGTATTCCTGATTAGAAAGAAGGAGAAAAGTAATTCAAAGTCCAAGGCACGTCAGCACTAACATTTTGCTTCTCCATCTATCAAAACTAATGTCAGGGGGTGCTTGTACACATGACGATCATTACCATGTACACATGATAAAAATTTCCTTTGTGTGGCTTAATAGCACCACACACTGCATGTGTGTGAGATTTGGGGGTTTCAAATGAGTTTGCAACATTACAAACTAAACCACATTCCCATGTAATTTAGTCTGCAAAATTGTTATTTGTAACATTGCAGCATTTAATCTGACAGCTGGCCCCCTGGCCACAGGAGAGACAAGTAGGCTCCGCCAAAAAAAGGATCAGGCCCGTTGCTGTTTCTCCCTTCAGCAGGTGCCTGGCAGCCATGGGCACCTACTGAAGGCACAAGCGGTGAGGGACCCGATCCTTTTATTTTTTTGCAGATCCTGCCCGCCACTCCTGTGGGGGGCTGCCCTGGTCCCTCTCTCTACTGCAGCAGTGTCTCCCAGGGCTGCCCGGTGGGCTGCTAGCGGGCTGGTGCTGCCTCAGCTCAGAGGCAGCACCCAGCAGGATCCAACTCTTCTCCGTGCCCACCGGGGCTTCCATCACCCTGTACACAATTCTCGTCACCTTCTCAGGCTGCCAGCACACCCAGCCACCCTCCTGCTGCTTCTCCATGCTGCCCCAGAGGCAAGCCAAACCATTTCTGGATGTTCCTAGGTAGCAGAAAGGCAGCAGGGACAGTGCATGGGGTGCTGGAAGCCTCGGTGGGCTCAGGGAAGAGTTGGATCTGGCTGGGTGCTGCCTCCAAGCTGGGACAGCACCTGGCCTGCTAGCAGCCTGCCCGGGCAGCCCTGAAGGGTACCACCACAATGGAGGGAAGGACCGGGGCCCCCTGCAGCTTCAGGGCTGCTTGGCTCGCCAGCAGCTTGCCCTCTGGTTGTCTTGCCATAACAGTGACAGAAGCCCCTAAATTGAAATGGTGGGTTTCAATTAAAAATACACTATTTCAATTTAGGGGGCACAGAATAATACCATGAAAACTAAACCCATCACGTGTACAAGTGCCCAGTATGACTAGTGTACATGCACAAAATGCCTGTCTATTAAGACCAGGCTACACACTCCATCCCAAAGATCCCCCGTGTCATGCAATTTAAATGTAGTTGTGCCTCATCTTTTCTCATTACATTTTTCTAATAGGCTCTGAAAATGAGAGTGCATTTTTCGTCCACATTCTATTGAAGCAACATTAAATGAATAAGGTAAGAGAGAAGTGTAACTCATCTGCATTTTGACCTGTTGGCTGCTACACTGCTTTCTCCAGTACCAAATCATAATTAAAAAAAATAATAATTTGCTTTTAAGTGTCTTTGATAATATACTCACTTATTAGTGGCAAGGTCAAAAGCTTCAACAGAGGCTGTAAGGCCTTCTTCAGTAACACCTCCTGCAATCACAATTTTCCCTTTATGGATAGCCACACCAAACATTGAGCGAGCCATTTTCATGGGGGCCAGATCTCTCCAATCTCCCTTCTTGGAGTTGTATATAAATGTTCTGTTAGTACACTTTCTGTGGGGAGAAAGAAAAAAGGGTGAGCATTTCTGGCAAACACTCTGCATAATCTTCTTAAACTGGTACCTTGTTTAAAGTGGATTTTGTGTGTAATGTGTACTCAATAACAGTGTGGTTCACTGCAGTTTCTTTGCAGTACTGGCAAATGGGCATGCACCAAGAGAAAGAAAGATGGTCTCAGAGTTTTTTCCTAATATGGATATTAACTAGATATTCCTGATTGGATTTTCCTGGGGGGGGGG